TCCTTTTAAACCCCGACATTTTGCTAACGCACTTGAAGATCTATATTAAGAAACTGATACTTACTTTCACAATGCACTCTCACACTGAGATGGTACCGTTAAATAACCTGGGGCGGTGTATTTGTCCTTGAAACTTTCCAAAAATTCTTGCATTCTTTCACCCCCACCCTAGAACATTGTGTTCGCATAACGGGACGAAATAATGCAGAGCTCGGTTCACACTAGTGCGAAAATAGTGTTAAACTCACCATGTGAAACAAAAGTGAATGAATATTAAACAACATATAAACTTAAAAAAAAAAGCCCCGGTTAAGCCGCAAACCGGTTAATCCGCCCCCGGATAATCGAGAGTTGACTGTATAAGGAAAATTAGTTTTATGCTGTCATGTCTGTATGTGTGCTTGCATATGTGCACATATCTTCCCCTGTTACAATATTTCAATAGTATACAAAATTGTTATGAAATCCAGGGCTGTACTAGAGCTCAGGTTGTTATTTGCCACCTTCACACCACAGTGGTCAAGGCTCAACCCTTGATTAGATCATGTGGGATTTTTGGTGGATAAAGTGCCAGGTTTCCTCTGAGTACTTTGTATCCCCTGCCACTTCTCATTCCACTAGCTGCTCCACTTTCATTAATCTTGTCATTAACACAATATTGTCTTGATACAAGCAGCACCATTAAATAACAAACTTAAAAGAATTAAATTTGGTGGGGACATCGTACCGTTGGAAGCTGCCACACCTTTGTACTTTGAGTTGTGTACTGTTAATAATACCAGCTGTGCAGTATCCTATGGGAGGGCAGTGCAGAACCCTGATATTTGGTATTTCAAATAATATCATGTGAATTTTGTATATATTGTTGTGATGACAAACCAATTACTACAGGTAGGCATGTGAAATTGTGTGTTGATTAGATCATAGACATTAGACAGGTTGGTCTTGACTTGTATTTGGGAGGTGCTTGGTTAAAATCTCAGATGGAACATTTACTATCCTGTTAAAGAGTTTTTCCCCCATGATTTCCCTCAGATCCTCCAAGCAAATGCCAGAGAGTATCTTGATTAGGCTACAGCCACTTCCTTTCAGATCCTTTTTCATTCATTCCTACCATATAACATTGTTTAGTCTAGCTGCTGAGAGTTGTAAAGTAGCCCACACTTCTTTTGTATATTAATTACAATGATCATGATGATGGTGCAAGACATTAATATTATATCTGAACAGGTCTCTTAACACTGAATAATGTCATGGGAATAGGGTGTGATGGGATCACATCACCTGGACATATATACCATAGTGAATATCTCAATTGAGGTTCCTAACATCACAGTGAGATTATTAAGTGTCATGATGTGATTTAATACACTGCATAATAATTAAACAAGAATTTCTCTGCATAACTCATAAAGTTCTGCTTTCCTATTGCATAGATTTTCAGTCCTATCTTTTATTATTATTATTATTATTAT